TATATATATATATATATATATGTGTGTTTCTAAAAAAGAAACTTTCTCTTTAATTCTTATTTGAATTTGAATAAACGATTTAAATAGCGAGATTATAAATCTTTTAAATAACAAATGACATACAAATATTAACCTTGATTGCTCCGTCATTCAATGTTTTTTTTTCTTTTTCCTCTTGTTTTATTACATTACATGACACAATATATTCGTGAAAACACGGTTAATAATAATTGCGCTTCAATTACTAGAGTATGACGATCGTGTACCATTTTACGTAGCACTTCCAACATTGACAATAATGCGCAATTGCACAAAATATTATTAATAAATGATACTAAGTGCCGCTTCAATTGACTCATTCGATCAAATAACTCGAGCGTTACTCCGTGTTCGCGCTCGTGCATTTGGAAATTGTAATTGCATTTATCATGAATTGTAAAAAATATGTAGCGTAATGTGAGACGTATAAATAAAGCTAAAAGAATATAAATGAGTGCAAAAAGTATTTGTACAGAGAAAATATTTTTAAAAAAACTTTATTAAAAAAAATAAATATTAACAAATTAACATCAAAAAATAAAATAGATTACATATTCCTCAAAATTATTTTACGTACAAAGATGTGAAATAATTAAAATATATTATCTTAAAGTAAGCGAAAATAAAAAATTACTTTTTTTAGACCCACAAAAATTCGTACAGTCGAGAAATTTAACTTCTAAAATCAGAAACACGCAAAACTGTTTTGTTTATGTTAGAACTAGTACTAATTATATATAATTTAATATTTATTTTTTACAAATAAGCTTTTTAATAAAAATTTATCCTGTACAAATACTTTTTGCACTTACTAATTATTATAATGGAATAGTGATTTATATGAATCTTATCTTCTACGACTCAATCTCCAAAAATAAATAAACGTGTAACATGTACGAAATATTGTTTCGGTAAACAGTCTTTGCTGCAATATGTTCGCACACTATTAATAAATTATAGGAGCTATTGATTGTGCGAACCGATAATTGGTCGGAATATTCACATTATGAAGAATAATAATGCGATGACACGCGGAGTGGCTTATGCTGCTGTCTGCCTGCTTCTGTATTAACCGCATGAATGGTAGCGTACCGACTTTGCTTATACATCGACTCGCCATATGTCACATAAAACAAGGCTATATGCTAACCAAAATGTTGTCATCTATCGAAATATACAACGATTTATCAAATAAACGAATCGAATATGTCTTTTGTATTCGAAATCGATTTCTGAAGAACTATATTATTATTCTTGCATTTTGGTTTCAATCGATTCCCATCGCCTAAATTACAAACATTATCATTAGATTTGAGAACTTTATCAAAACAAAATGAAACGTAAGGAAAATATTGTTACTTGAATTTTAATTGAACGATTTAGTTTAACTTTGATTGATAAGTATATGCAGTTTAAATCTTTGTATCAAAGCAATTAATCTTTGTATCAAAATATTATATATAATAAAATGAATCATGCAAAAATTTAATAAGTTTATAATCAAAACTTTATTATTTTATAAGTGATTCATAATAATTTTTAGATCTTAAATAATAATCTGAAATTATTGCGAGGAAATTTCTGTATCCATTTAATATTTTTTGCTAAATCTCTCAGACAAATGGGAATGTTAAATCATGTTATGTTATTAAATATGAAAGATATTGTGTAAATTGTCATATCATTAATTAAAAAACAATATATATATATATATATATATATGTATATGCAAATTTGCAAGTATCTTAAGAGTAGCGATGTTATTGACATGTGTTGAATTTTTTTTATATATTTGATTTTAACTAGAATAAAAATAATATTTGATATTATTTACGCTTTTAAAGGCTATCTATAATGGAATAAACCGTAAGCCATAAAAAATTGACCACTTACAGTCGAATGTGAAGAGAATAATGATTGATCAATTTTTTACAGCTTACAGTTTATTACCTCTATTATAAATGGTCCTTTAAGATACACTCGACTGCAACACAAGAAATTTCAAGAAGTTCCTAAGAAATCTGTAGTAATTTAAATACAGCCAAAGATACTTCTAAGAAGTAAACGTATATATTTCCAAGCTTCACACAGTAATTGACACATAATTATCAGAATTTTTTACATTTAAAATTACATATATATATTCGCATGCATCTTGATTTTGTATGAAGGAAATTAATAACAATGCTCCACATATCAAATAAAATTGTTATATTCATTATTGTTGTTAATTTCTTTTACAAAATAAAGACACGTGTATATGCATACTTTTAAAATTAATAAAAAATTATGTTCAAATGTGAAAAAAAAACTCTTGCTGAATTAATATCATGCATTCGCTTATATTTACATTTTACTGAAATTCATTAAAGTTTCAAAATGGATTTACATCATTTTCGCAAGATAAACGATTCATATGTGCTGCAAACTCACAACATCTAATTTCAGAGCAGAATTGCGATTCTGTTGTTGCGTACATGTTAACATGCATCAACTAATTTCATTTCGACATCAACTTGATTTGATTTGGAGTTAAAACGTTGCGTTCACTCCATGAATATTAATATGTGATTATCAATTAACTTGTAATTTTTGATGAAAACTTGGCGCTGAGAACTTTGCTCTATACTTTGAATTGCATAATATCTAAAATAATCAAATGGAATAAAATTAAATTAAATAAGATAAAGTGCTAACAGCAGCATCCTAATAAATTGGATGAAAAAAATAGAGCATGAGTGAAATAAAATATGAAAAAAATGAATTAAAACGTAAAAATTTAGAATTATTTTAACAATATATTAGTTTAAAAAATTAGTTTAAAATATTACCTTGTTTTTTTGATAACTTTATGTAAACTTGCAGAGAATGGGACCAAGCTATAGAAGTGGGCCAGGTTTTTGTCCCACTATAAATGCCACCGAATCTCAAGAGATCCTCGTGTCTTCCGGTATAAAAAAAGCGATACGAGTTAAAGTGCATATCATTGGGGTAAGTAAAGAACCTACATTACTAATGATTAGATTATTTTTTTTATCTTCGAATTTTTTGTATAATATTATAAAATATTACAAAAATTTCACGAGTTTTTCTAAGTTTCATTTCTAAATGAAATGATAAATTTAATGAACATCTTAAATCTTAGTTTTTGTATGCAAGTTAAGTATATCATTGAATTCAAAATTCTATTGAGATATTAATGTACATTCAAATTTTTTTCAGCAATTCATCATACAGACACGGTTCGTGTGCCAATTCAACATTGAGGGTCGCGTGACGAGCGTAAATGCGCGTTTGCTAGCTGACACGATCTACTGCGAGGAAACGGAATTCTCTTATACCTCTCGCGCGCCAAATATCACGGTACCTTTCGCAGTAATCTGGGGCGGCTCCAAACCTTTGGATAATCCAGACAATATACACCTTGTGATATACCGTTGCCGCGACATGGCAGACAACTGCGGCATGTGCTTGGCTCTGCCAACAAAATACGGATGTGGCTGGTGCCAGAGCTCAGACAGATGCGAGGTGAAGGATCAGTGCGACCGCGGCACTGGCATGTGGCTGAACAGCAATCAGACCTGTCCAAATCCGGAGATAAAATCATTCGAACCGGTAATGGGTCCCTGGGAAGGCAACACAAACGTGACGATTCGCGGCATCAATCTTGGCAAGACATTCAAGGTAAGAAAGGCATCACTTTGTTTGTCTGTTACTCGTTATCGAAGTGAAATATAGTCGTTTTTGTCATTCTCGTTTGCATAGTAATATATTACAATAATTAAAAGATCGATTCTTTTTAAATTTGTTAAAGAATACCTATATTTCTAAAGCATTATCGAAATTCGCAGAAGTTATACAAAGTTATCAAATATTTTCAAAAGCGCATTACATCGAGCGTTCTGATATGAAATTTATTTTAAATGCCTTAAACACCATGATCTTCCAATATTCATTAAAAAATGTTTTTACGATATCACTATTTTTATCTAATCATATCTCAAAGTTAATATTTAAAAAATTTTTTAATTTACTTTTGAGAATATGTATTTATAAATTTTTATAAATAAATTATATTGACAATTAAATTATTAAAATTCTATTAAAGACAATCTGAGTTTTTAATTTGTTATTCTGTTTTAAATAAGTAAGATTTTTTTTTTAATATTAATATGCGATACCTAAAGATTTTTTAATTACAATATTCAGTAACATTCGTGTTTATATATTTAGCATGTTAATATCTTTTTATTATCATTATTATGATATCAATATTATGATATCAATATTTGTTATCCAACTAAATTATTTAATATATCTACATAATTTTAATATACGTTGCAGGACATAGTTGGGGGCGTTACCGTAGCCGGTATGCGATGTCTACCGTATGAGGAACTTTATATTCGAACGAAGCAAATCGTTTGCCGAGTCGATGGACCTGGCACGCAGGAAGGCAGGAGCGGACCTGTCATCGTGAAGATCGAGGACTTCCGCGGCGAATCAGACTACAATTTCGAATTTGTAGATCCACAGATCATCTCAATATCACCCAAGTACGGACCTCTGAGTGGTGGTACTACTATCAAAATCACCGGTAATTATATGAACGCCGGCAGCACTATCCATGCTGATATTGACGATCTTCCCTGCTCTATAATAAGTGCCGAACCTAACGAGGCTCTTTGCATGACGAGTCCAAGCGATCAAAAACGAAATGGCTTGCTGAAGATGTCTTTTGATGGTGGCAAGCGTTTATATGACGGCCACTTTGAATATGTCGACGATCCAACAATTGAGAGTGTGGAGAGTGGCGTGGCCGGTCAAATGAAGGTCCCAAAGGGAATTCCAGCAGGTGGAATAAAGATCTCGGTGACCGGCAAGAATCTTGGCTACATACAAAGTCCACAAATGTATGTCTACTATGATGAGAAGATGTTTGTATCGCAATGCGAGGTGCACAGTCAGGAGAGCATGGTGTGTAAGTCACCGACCATCGAAGTACCCGAACACATAATATTGGATGCCGAACGTCCGCTCTCTCTCGAATATGGTTTCCGCATGGACAATGTTACCGGCGTGCAGAATCTCTCGCAGCACGGCTTTAATCACTTTCTTCTGTATCCAAATCCGATCTATGAAGTCTTTGATGAGGAAGTCAAATATTATAAGAGCGATTATCTGACGATCAATGGTCAACATCTCGATCGTGCCTGCCAAGAGTCCGATGTGGTTGTGCAAATCGGTAATGCTTTTTGCAATGTCACATCTTTGTCGCGGCAACAACTCACCTGCCGACCACCTTTAACACAACCACCAGCCATTGATGCTCAGGGTTTGCCCAATAAACAAGAATTGCCAGAAGTGGTATTAATAGTGGGCGGTACGCTTCATTATCACATTGGCAAGCTTAGCTACGCACTGCCAGCTGGATTGAACGGGCCGTTGTCGAAACCAGCGCTCATTGGCGTGATCGTAGCCATTGTGATCTTAGTAGTCGTATTCATAGCGTTCCTTATCGCTTATCGCCGAAAATCTACGGAAAGCAATCGTGTATTGAAAAATATGCAGGAACAGATGGATATTCTCGAGTTACGAGTCGCTGCCGAGTGTAAGGAAGCTTTTGCCGAATTACAGACAGAAATGACTGATCTCACAGGAGACCTTACTAGTGGTGGCATACCCTTCCTTGATTACCGCACTTATGCAATGATGATATTATTCCCCAGCGACGACAATAGTCCGGTACTGCAGTGGGATAGACCAGAACTCGTACGAAAAGAGAAAGGATTGCGCTTATTTGGTCAACTGATAATGAATAAAACTTTCTTATTACTGTTCGTACGAACACTCGAGAGCAATCGTTATTTTTCGATGAGAGATCGAGTTAACGTTGCCAGTCTGATTATGGTTACACTGCAGAGCAAAATGGAATATTGCACGGACATCCTAAAAACTTTGCTGGCGGATCTTATCGAGAAGTGCACGGAAGGCAAAAGCCATCCAAAATTATTTCTTAGGAGGTAAGTATATGACGTTATACTTTCAGTTATTAATGTTCAATGAAGATATTTGTGATTTTAAGAAACTTATTTATTTTGTAGAACTGAGAGTGTTGCTGAGAAAATGTTGTCTGCTTGGTTCACATTTCTCTTATACAAATTTATGAGAGAGTGCGCCGGTGAACCATTGTACGTATTGTTTCGCGCGGTAAAACAGCAAGTTGATAAGGGTCCTGTCGATGCGATTACTTCAGAAGCACGATATTCTTTATCCGAAGAAAAATTGATTCGGCAATCCATCGACTTCAAGCCAATGGTAAAGATTAATAATTCGACAAGATAAGTTAATGCTTTGCAATAACAATAACGGTTCTATTACAATTTTAGACGGTTTATGTTTCGATATCTCAACAAACCGTGTTTGTTGGTGGAATGGATCCTAACACGGAGAACGTGCCAGTCAAGGTCCTTGATTGCGACACAATATCTCAAGTGAAGGAAAAAGCGTTGGATACGATCTACCGAGCGACTCCGTATAGTCAAAGACCTCGAAAGGAGGATCTTGATCTTGGTAAAAAAATCTTGCACTTGAATACTTATTAAACTTCATGTAAAATTATGCGATTCTTATATTATGCTTAATAAAATATTGCAGAATGGCGAACTGGCGCGTCAGGTAGATTAATTCTCTACGACGAAGATTCGACAACGAAGACAGAGGGTGAGTGGAAGAAGAGAAACACTTTGAATCATTACAGGGTACCGGATGGAGCATCACTCAACTTAGTGTCCAAACAATCATCTATATACAATCTTTCGATTCTGTCAGAGAAGACAGACAAATCGCACAAATACGAGACCTTGAATCTTAGCAAGTTCAGTTCGGCGAGTCCCCCTCTCTCTCGTGCCACTTCTCCGCTTAATCAAAATATCGAAGCTGGTATGAAGATTTGGCATCTTGTTAAGCATCATGATTCTGACGCGCGAAAAGAGGGAGATCGCGGCAACAAAATGGTCTCAGAGATCTATTTGACGAGGTTACTGGCAACAAAGGGTACTCTCCAGAAATTCGTCGACGATCTGTTCGAGACAATATTCAGCACTGCCCATCGAGGCTCGGCGCTACCTCTCGCCATCAAGTACATGTTTGATTTCATGGACGACCAAGCTCTGCAACATGGCATATCCGATCCGGAAGTGGTCCACACGTGGAAGAGCAATTCCCTTCCTCTTAGGTTTTGGGTTAATCTCATAAAAAATCCGAATTTTATTTTCGATATACATAAGTCTAACATTGTGGACTCGTGTTTGTCCGTCGTGGCGCAGACGTTTATGGATAGCTGCTCAACGTCGGATCATAGATTAGGTATGTAATTTTTACCAATTTTTACATTACGTCTGTGTTAATTAAGGAGATTCAGGAATACATTTTTTTCTACTGTTCTTAGGTAAGGACTCTCCGAGTTCGAAACTATTATACGCGAAGGACATTCCAGTGTACAAAGAATGGGTAGAGCGTTACTACTCAGATATTAAAGTCATGCCAGCCATATCCGATCAAGACATGAATGCCATGCTTGCCGAAGAGTCGAGGGTATTTATCCATCTTTATATTCATAACGTATAAATTTCATAAATTTGCTCAGTACGATTTCTAATGCATCAACATTCGTTTAATTTTGTTTCAGTTGCACACAACGGAGTTTAACACGAATTGTGCTTTATACGAACTATATACATACGCGGGTAAATACAACGAACAACTAATAGTCACGCTCGAGGAGGACGAGTTCTCGCAGAAGCAGAGACTGGCATACAAGCTCGAGCAAGTGCACAATATAATGGCGGCGGACAATCCCTGATGCATGACCATGAACTCCATGAAGCACATGACGAAATCTGCTCGTCAAGAGTTACCCTGCTGAGCGGTCAATCGCGGTCCGGTGTAATCAACGACACGAACGAGGGGAACTGGCCTACCTTGAAATCGATAATCTCAGGTTCTGTGCAAAAGCCAGTTTTCTCAGCTTAACGCGAATCGCGAGTGAACTTTGGAATTATTCCAGACAGGGGGATAAGAGCGTTGCGAGTTAACTGGGAATTAATTAAAGGACTAAGTGTTAAAAGTATGTGTCGAGGAAGTCTTCTCAGAGGTCGCCAGTTCGTAGATGTGGCCATAATTATAAGCACATTGCCGTGTGCGCATATAATTGTACATAAGATATCAAAAATCATGAATAATTGTAATAGGATATTAAATGTACGATCACCCCTCGACTCGATGGTCGAGTCGAGTGCAAAAGCAGGGCGAGAGCAGGGCGTTTCTCTCGCCGCGCGGTGATCGCACGCCCGTTTGCACCGCGAGTGATTTTAAAAATGAATGTAATAATGTGAAACACACTAGTGGTAAGAGAGGCGCGAGTGAGGGAATCAGCCGCGATATCGATCGATAATTTGTAAATGTGTTTAAAAAAAAAAATAATACGGTCGATTGCCGGCGCCGTGATCTCGGTGATCTGGCGATTTTTAACGAAGAAACATTTCCATCCACCGCTACTCTAGCTGAAATTTTTTGAACTGACGAATTTTAAGAGATAATGATAATTACCGATAACGATGAAATAATTAAATAACGATATGGATATATTATATATGTATGGATGGTATGTCGTATGTATATGTGTACATATATACACTTTATACTGGCGCAGCATGCCTGTGTGTGCGTGTGCGTATATCTAGTATCCGATGAGGAGGCGCGCGTGCGAGCAGGTAGGACGGTATCCCGCGCCGAGTTATTTTGCCATAATTTTATCACACAAAACGAGACTTAAGGAAGTCTCATTCGCTCACACGCTTATAAGCGCGCTGTCGCACGCTCCATAACTCGGCAGCGCCGTACCGCACGCACGTGCGTATTTAATATGGTGTATTACGTATACTTACACGGCGCTCGAGAAGGGAAGGAAGAAGGGAGGGAAAAATAAGTCATCCGCGCAACGGAGACAGACTGTGTATTAGTTAGTAAGTAATTAATCTATGGACTATGGCCGCGCGCGAGGCCAGCTCGATGTGACGGTTGTGTTGAGTGTGCGTGCTTCCCCCCTCCTTGGTCTCCGCGACTCATTGTTCCATTTCGCCATTTAATCGTTCATTCCTATCGTCGTGCATCCATCACCGATGTCATCGCCGCTATTCCATAATCATCGATAATCCTTATCCTTTTCCTCCCTTATCCTTATATCCATCGTTACCTTCCAATCCCTTTCTTTCCTCTCTACTGTTTGTAGCATGTCCACCATCGAAGCTCTCCTGCTCTTCCTTCATCCTCTTGGAATTCATCTACATACCACTTTTCAATCTCTATCTACCCATCTTTCTCTCTCTTTCTCTCTCTCTTTCTCCCTTTGTAATGCTTCAACGCCTCCGTCGTCATGTTGTTGTCACTCTTAATTATTGTAATATATAATGAATAACGATCACTGTTGAGTATTGTCTGATTGTAATACATTGATATTGAATTGATATTGAATTGATAATCATTAATTAAAAGTGTAACATTAACTCTGTGGATGTAGCCATATTGGTGTGCATGAAAGTAAGTCGCGCGAATGGATGTGTGTTTGATCGAAAGCCGAAAGCATTGCCGAAGAGTCGCCGCACCGTTGAACAAAGTTATTTGATAAACCTGTCATTCCCTTCGTATTTACGCACAAATTGCCAAATCACACCACATTATCTGTAAATCGGGCGACAAGTCCGATCTACAGAGTGCCTGATCCTGATATGATTTTACATACTCTTGCGAAGGATTAAGGAATTAATGGGATTCGAAGGTAAGGTATTCTTCGAGCTCATTTAATGTGACGTTCTGTCAATGCGTACGGCTGGTAGCGAATGACGGCTGTCCGACGTGTATGCGCGTGTGCGTGTGTCCTGTGCGTCAATTCAATGTGCAGTTATACGTGGAGAAAGTATTTATTGCTCAAAAAACATCGGAAGACCGTGGTGGAAAGGTAAGGAAGCGGATAAAAGATATGGAGTTGTTGGTAGGCTTACTGGAAAAGGAATTGGGGGGAGGGTGGAATGGAAAGTCGGAAGAAGGAACAGAGAATCTACGCGGTGGCGAAGACACATCGCCAGACAGGGTAATAATCGCGCGACAGGAAAAAGAGGCGGGAAATGGTACAATTAATAATGATGGTAACGGGTCAACTGAACGATCCAACAACCAATGATTTCTCTCGAGGATGAGGTGTAATCGCGTGCTCGCCCGCTGTTCCGCGCACAAGAGAACGGGGCGTGTGGTACCCTCCCCCGCGCACGCCGACTTCAAATGGTACTAATAAACCCAAAGTGCCTCTGGTAGATTTTTGGGCATAAGCTTGAGTAATAAAGACTACATAGCGTTTACTATAAAAAAAAAAGAAAGAAAGGAAAAGAGACACGACTACGACGCAATTGCTGATTATAATAAAACGATAATAAAAGAGCCGAGAAAGAGAGAGAAAGGGGGGGGGGGAAGAAAACGAAATGGCGAGAGTGCTTCTGACGCGCCCTCCGCAAAACGATTACACGTGAAAAGCGAACGGAAGTGCGGGCGTACCGGGTGTGTACGCGGTGCGTACGCTAATTAAACGTTTAGATAGATATTAACGTATAGTCGGTAGCCTAGTCTCTATGTCGGTGTCTGTCTGCCCTGAGTGTCTTTCCCACGGTGTACTCCTCAAGTGCGTGTACCTTGAAATCCCGGCGAGCAGATTCCCTCACAGTCCAACGCCCTCGGTCACCGTCGTCCTCGAGTTCAGCCTCTCTCCCGCGTCACGTTCCCCGGCCGTGTATCGACCCATTGTGGATCCTCGCCGTCCTTTGTCTCCCGAGCCTGACCCCCGAATCTTCTCCAGTACCTCGACACCCCGTCTTTTAAACGCAACTAACTGTGCTCACATCACGCGTCATTCGCCACAATTACCGATCGGCACGTTTTGCTAAGTAAATATTATTATTATTATTGTATCGATGGTTCCTCATCAATTATGGAATATATGAATCCCGATTTGTAAAATTCGATTTAACTAAGAAGATGTGTAATAACTTAATCATCGTATCATTCATGCGTGGCTTGCTGCCCCCGGCAGTCTAACTACCGTCGTATGCTTGAATATGGAGACAACGTGCGCGCCTCCGAGAATGTTTCTGATGTACGTTAGTGAGCGAACGTGTACGAATTTTTGTGTGTCTATTATATTCCCATCTCTCTGTACATCTCATTCAATTTGTATTCCCTTTCTTCTTGTCGCTATCAATCGGAGATCCGTTTGAGCCATGAAAAATGGAAGAGACAACTTGAAAAAGAAACAAGGAAAATGGGGTTGTATGAATGATGGCTGAATGAATGTCAGATGGATTGTGCAAGACTGAGAGAGGCAGCGGAGGGAGCTTGCCAATCAATCCCAAGGTCGCTCCCTCGCCGCTCATTTTTACGTCATAAACATTAATTATGATTATCCAGGATAAACGCATCCAACAAAACATAATTACGTTACGTTTATAATAGTCATGTTCCTTTCCGATCGATGATAATTGATAATAAATCTATATCAACCTTGCTACATTATTTTGTACTTGTTTTTTAATATTTCTTAATTTTTTAATCTTAATATATTATATATACATATACATAAAAATCTATAAATAATGCCGTTTTTAAGTTATCAGACGTATTATTATCATTATTATTATTAATTATTATTTTTGTATAAATGTGTGATTAATAGTACGGATAGTGTAATAATTTTGTATGTTTATTGAACCAAAAATAAATATTATTGATAAAGAAAGAGGATTGCTTGAACAAATGTCTACATTTCTCATTTAAAACATTTACATGTTTTAATCTTCATCATCAATAGCAGAAATGGCTTTTTGGAACATCAGTTGTGGCTTTTGCGTCACACGTAAACTTTGCGGCCCAATACTGCTTAACACGACCGGTAATAGGATCAGTCCGTTCCATAGCCCAAACAAAATTACCAAGTAAAATATTCGAAAAAAGGCCATGAACACATAGGATGACGAGAAGGCTAGCATCGAGACGGCAAGAAATGTTGAACCAGCACCATACGCGACCGCAGCACCGATATGCCTGACTGCGACCAATGTTCGGGTCTTACGAGCGTTAATATCATCCTCTTGCGACTCAGCATTCAGGAAAGCATGTGCAACGTGTGCAGCATAATCCACACTTAAACCGATACCCAGCTCGAGACCTGTAAAAGATTCTTACTGAATCTGTGTTTGATTAACAAGAAATTTGCTTTAAACGTTTAAAAAATCACTTTAATGTAATGAATAATTCATATTGTATACTCGTTTTGTAGTCTAAAAATATATACTGTAATAGAATATATACTATAATAGAATGATTAGAATTTTATGAAGATTAAGATGAGAATTGAGAATGAAAATTGCACGCAATCTCGTGATTTCGTAATATAAATATCTTTTTATACTCCTGCAATCATTGCAATAATAAAAATGACAACAAAATTTCCCACAATAAATGGAATTAAATTCATTTATTATTTACTTTGTACTTTATGAAATTAATTTATTACAAAACAGAAATTCATTAAAAAATTTTTTTTATTTTATCAAATATTTTTTCTATTTACATGTATATATTTTATCTTTTACATAAACAGAATAACAAAACTACGAATTTATGAAGCAAAGTAAAAAAAATATACTCACCAATGCAGGACACCACATCTATTGTTAATCCCCAAAAATACATGAAGCCGCAAACATTTAGCAATGTGAGAAGTACACAGAGTAAGATCCAAAAACAAGTCTGCATTTCAGCAATCAGAATCGCTGTGGTACCCATAACACAGATTAATGCCAGGATAATGTTTCGTGATAGTTCTTGACTGATTAATTTATCGGCAGTCCAAGGTCCAAACATTTTGCACCACACTGCCACGTATCCGTGAATTTGCACTTCGTTTGTTAAGAGCTTACTATTATCCATCGCTGGAACCCATTCGTCAGGACCTTCAAATTGTTTGAAGTAGAACTCAATGGTTGCTACTGCGATTCGTGGGGCATTCTTCCCGCATTTAAACTTTTCTTTGAAAAAGAAATTTCTCTGATATTTGCCACCAGCTCGACTAACAAGAAATTTTGATAGATAATAATGGAACTTGTCGTCTGTAAGTTTTGTAGATTTCAAATCTGATGAAAAATAACATACAATTAATTTGCAAAATTATTTAATTAATCGACAAATGATGTGTTTATCT